TATCCTACAAATCCATTTGATGTACCAGTAATGCACAATAGCTTTGATTTTGAAACACTGAGTGCACCGAATACAATAAATATGGCACTTAACATTATTGTAATGTCTTAAATAATCTCTCTCAAAACAAACTACCTACAAATGGAAAAAGAACAGATTAAGCTGACATGAAAAAGTTTCCGTCTTACATTCTGTCCCACAGGAACAACCATGAGATGTTGAGGACCAGATTCAAGCACCAAAACGCAAAAAAGCCGTACGGCAGAACAGCAGGGCTGCAGTAGACATAGCCGTAGGCGTTCCTGCAGAGAATATTTGCACACCGCCAAAGTCACTATTGTAATTCGATGTTTCACTCAAGCCGAAAACCTCAATTTGAGCTTTTTCACTTACTTTCTGAAGATGCCGGAGAGGATGTACACCATCACCAAAGCCAGAAACAAGTAAATGATAGTCCAGATGGTGAAGGTCCAACCTGATGGTGTGAGCTGGATGACAAACTGAGCGGAAATGTTGCTGGTGTCGTATAAAAACGGGGCTGTATAGTAAACGAGAAAAAAAAGATATATATGAAAAATCAGCTAAAAGGGTAAAAATAGAAACAATGAAACAATTATAATACAGTTAGCCTTTATTCAACTTTTTCAATTAAAAAAAAAAGATTTAACCATTGTAATGCAGAAAAGAATAGTATTTTATGTCATTGATATTACAAACAATTAAATAACTTAAATCTTTAAATTCAAACTCACAGCTTCCTGCTGCTGCCAGCGCAGAGAACACCATGGTGATGATGAAGATGATCAATGCCATCGCCATGGCAATCAGAAGACCGAGGTTGTGCTTCGCCATTCTTGATGCTTCAACTTACCTGAGACCAAGAAATATTTGTCAACCAATCTGGAAAACGGAGAGAAAAAACGATATTGGTGCCACGTCAGACAATCTGCATCATTAGCAGAAACCTACCACTTATTTGCCCCTGAATAAGAGTTCTCCGCAGTGTGGTGCAAAACGAGGGTCTTCACTGCATTTAATAGGTATGGTTGTGTAATAGCAGGACTTTTATGACGTTGAGTTTACTAGACTGTTCCGCACGTGTGCGTGTTTGAAACATACGACACCAGACACTTTTTTTTTTTTTACCTCAATACAGATAAAAAACTTGAAAGAATGGAAAAAAACGAGGTGCCACCTAAGCTGACTCCTGTTTATGACTCTCTTTAGTAATTCTGAACACATAAAGAGTGAGACTTTGCCCCCATACTGTGTTGGATAACATAGTATTTATGACCCATTCATACATTCACGTAAGCTTTCTTACTCAACCCCTGCATTACTCTGTTAGGATTGGCCAGGAAGTGATTTTAATCCACCTGATCTTCAGAGTTATGAAATGTTGAGCTGAACAAAATGCATCATGGTCCTGAAAAAAAAGCTGACAGTGTGTCTTATTAGCAAACAGGTAGATTGAATGACTCGAATTATGTAAAAATGTTTTAAATAACATTTTTTCTGGTATTTGTTTAGCTGAAATACCAAAAACACATTTGCAAAGAACAGAGTAAATTCTTCTGATAAAAATAAGACCTCCAGTAGTCTTTAAAGAATGCTAGTGCAATCAAAATCTGAAACTTTGTTTTTCCCTCAAACATTAGATCATTTTGAGTTATTATCTGGTGAATTAAATAAGTTGAGCTTTTTATGTCTGTTTGTTTACATCAGGGGTCTGCAACTTTTACAACACAAAGAGTCCAGGTAAACAAAACTCATTTAGACACAAATGTTACAGCATGCGACCTTTATTTTTATTTTATTTTTTTTTTAAAGATAACTTATTATTTTTGATAAATTGTTACTGTAGATGAGAAATTTGAAGTATTTTTATGGAACCACCATTATGTTTCTATTTTGGGGATTTAAAATAAAAGAAAACCACAAGTTTTCCAAAAGGAGAATGGATGTGCTTTATTCTATGGGATATTGAATCTGGTAAAAACGATCATTTGTTATTAAAAATATTATTATTATTGTTGTTGTTGTTGTTGTTATTTATTTATTTATTTATTTATTTATTTATTTATTTATTTATTTATTTATTTAAGTCTCACTTTGTGGCTCCCTTGTTTCTAACCGTTGCTGTTTCTCTCCAGTCAAAAGCAAATTTATATTTATAATCCAGCCAGGATTTCTGGGTTCAAACATGCATCTTTGAATAAAAAAAAAACAACAACAACAACAAAAAACTTTCCGACTTCATACACTCTTGTGATGTACGATGTAGAATAAAGTCTTGTTTTATGGAGAAATGGAAACTTTTAAGAGACAAAGGTTTAAATTTGTTTTCTGTTGGATGCTCAGAACATGATGGGATTATAGGAATTAGAAAACAGACAGATTTGCTGTACAATCTTAAATACAGGACTCACAGCTAAATGAATCTCTAAACTATAAGCCCACAGACATATTACTACAACTCTATACTAGTGTCGTCTGATTAAGAGTTTATAAAACAGAGGACTAGTTTATTGCAGTTACGAAAACGTATTTCGATTTGATCTTATGAAATCGCAGGACAGGAATTATGAAACTATAAAAGATTACTACCCTTCTAACTCCAACTTTTAAAGTGGACATTATGCAATGAATGTTTAAATAGGAATGTTACAATATATGCACACAGTGATACATATGTTTTTACACACAAATAAAACGCCTTCACAAAAGTTACTCTTCGGGAAACTGTTTATTTTGTGTTTTCATAAAGATTTCAGAACAAGTCGCGTGTGTCCATCGCTGTTAGTAAACAAATACAAAATAAACCGTTTGGCACGTGAACTATTTCCACATCAGTCATCCTCGTGCATAACTGAAGCTTTTTTTTTTAATTAACTTTTTTTTTTAACAGTGACAGGCTGAACTCTGCAGATCAAATCGTCTGCAGCAGACTTGGACTCAAACATATTTTGACATAAACATAAACAAGCTGCAAGAAAATCATTTTTGATCGTTACAACAGAGTCTTTCTCAGCTTTTGGGGGTAAAACTGAACACATGTCCAGAACATTCTTTCTTTCTTTCTTTCTTTTTTTTTTTTTGTAATTATGTACAGTTTTTGTAATTGTCATTTGAGTCTGTCAAGTTACCAGAACTTGAAAACTGGCAGCTCCGTCTCTGCCTCCATCCGCTTTTTTCCCTGCGGACAGTACCTGCGTGTGTGAGCGTGGTCCCCGCTGGCCCCGCAGATGGGGCAGGTGTAACTCCACAGGATGGGGCAGGTCACCTTCCCGTCGTCCGATCTGAGTGCGTGGGACCGGTACACCCTGGGAGACTCCCCGTTCTGCCTGCAGAAGCGGCAAAGGTCCGCCGAGGTCTTGCTGCAGCTGCTGGTGTCCGACAGACTGCTGCTGCTGCTGACTGACCTAGTCTCTGAGGATTTTTTCCATTTCTTCCCATCGAGTGACGTCTGGATGATGCGCATCTGCTGCACGGGCTTCTTCCTGGGCTCCTGTGTGTCTCCAAGCTCCACCGGACGCCGGTCGCCCACCAGGAGCGTGTTCAGGTTCATGTAGTCGTGCCACATGTCGAAGCTCTGGAAGTCCACTCTTGTTTGCGTTGTGGTCATTTTTGCCTATACAGGATTGTCTGAGTTTGACTTTGATCGCATTACGGCATATTTATAGACGCGTGGACATAGCTTCAGACTGCAACAATGTTTACGTCCTGAGATGGGTGGCAGGTGCTTAACTATGCAGTTTGACGTTTTCACCTTTTATCTTAAACTTTTCTTTTGAAGAGAAGCGATTTTATTGTTGTCACGTGTCACTATGGAAGATTTAAGAGACTTTGTCCATTAAATCAGCCTATCTAATTAAACTCCATCGCATAGTAGTAATAAGGTTTGATTAATTTTAATATCTGTACTATAATTAACAATAAGTCCGATTAAATTATGGTATGAAAATATTATGAGACTCTCAATCAAAATAATCATGATATCAAATATTATTTTCAAACTTTGCAGACTGTGCAGAGTGCTTTGTTTTGAGGGTGATGGGTCAAATGTTTATCATTCCCGATGGCAGATCGCCGCTCTTTGTAGACAAATAGGCCTTTAAATGTTGAAAGTCTGATTGACTATGTTTTAAATGCTTGCACAAACAGGGATACGAATGAGGAGAACATTTATTTAACATTCAGAAATGATGTATTTATTTACATATTTTTACCTCTTAAGTCAAATTTTCTTTAAAAGACCTGCTTTTAGAGGAAATGTCAAACAGATTAATGCTCAGCACTGTTATTTATTTAATTTACATATATTTGATTTTCATGTTGTATTGTTCATATTATTATTGAAAATAAGTATTAGAAAAAGAGAATAGTGTGATTCAAAATATATTAAATGTTAATAATTATATTATATTATATTTTTTAATTTTTGCAGTTTGTGATTTTCAAGATGCAACATTGTGTAATCACATATACTTTGGGGTACCTCAACTCCCTATTCACACCTGAATTTGAAAAAAAAAAAAAACTGTAAGTCACTAAAACTTATTGAATAGGATATGTGGGCGCGTGTGGCTGCACAGGTGACCCATGATTCATCTCAAGTTACAACATGGCCATCGGCGCCGAAGTGTCTCGTCTAGTCCACTTCAAAAATATAGAACATTAAAAAGTGACACCTGCACAGTCAGGCTTCACGCTATCAGAGGGCGGATTTGTGGATGCAATTTGCTTTGAAGTTAAAAGCATTCTTTAAATCCTTTAAAAACAGCTTCTAAGCAAAAAATATTAATAGAAAAAATAGCTAAATGTCTGAAGATGCAAACACTGAAACTGTATGAAAAGTGTTTTATTATTTTTTTTTAGGACAGTGTTTTGACTGTAGAAAATTTCTAAAAGCTAAATATAGAAATAGAAACAGACTAGAAATAGACAACCGCTTTGTTTATGAAGTAAAACGCATCTTGTGGGCGGAGCTATTGTGCGTAAGCGAAGTCTCAGTATTGCGCATGCGCATTTGTTGACATACCGGCGACGGCAGTTCGACGGTGGCCTAGCGAATACAGGGGATTACGAGCCCAATCTGACAGGTCAGAATATTACAAATATCTCAATTTTCAGATTCATAGTGTTTTCCACTAATTAATTTGGAAAAAATAGTTGAATTCCAGTCAAAAGCGTTTGGAAATATTTGGTTGTCCAGTGTGCTAAGGTGGGTTTCGCGCTAAGCTAACGTCCAGTTAGCCGCTGTTCGACTGTTAGCTTGGGGTGTTGAATGCGGCCAACACTGGCTGTGACATAACCAACTTGACCGACTGAGGACGTCATTCTACCTTATATCGGTGCTTTTTAATAAGCGTGAATATGTAAAGGACATGCTTAGCATACCAAATTAAGTTTGGTTTGCTGGTAGTTAGCCTGTGTAAAGCCACAGAAAGCTAACCCTGCTGCCAGCAGTATATCTTCAAATGTTGAGTTGTTAGGCAATGTTTGTTTAGGGGAATGATCTACTTATTAACTGTTTAAAATTAAAAGCGGCTGAGGCTGCAGTATCGATTCTTCTGCTAATACTGACAGCTGTCACATTAGTTCATCTGGGATCATGCATGTTAGTACTGAAGCAGGCATGTTTTTATGAAGGACTCTGATCCAGCTGTTAAGATAAACAAAATTTGACAGGAGCGAAAGATTAGGATGATGGTACGGGGGCCTCCCAGCTTCAAAGACGCAGAGCTCATTGCAAAAGCTGAAGGATCAAATATATTTGTGAAGACAGAACAAAAACAAATTCAGAAATCATAAGAAGCATTTGACTTCTACCAATAAAAGCTTTTCCACTCATTATTCATTATGGTTTAGCAGTTTTTCAGTGTTCCTTTCTTTTGTTAAAATGTATTTATTTTTTTCTCAAAAGTGATACTCCTTATACATTGATTACTTTTTAATAATCAACTGTCTGCATCTTAAAATTAAAACAAAAGTTTTGGTTAAGCAAAAATAACTTAAAATCTTTATCCCCAATGGGTATGAATAATTTTGAGCCTGTCTGTGCTTATAGTTGAATTAAATATGAATAGTCCAGCTTAATCAGTATCCTGGAATGTATATAAGTTACAATTATGAATTATGAGATGTTACATGTGTAAGATGACTTTGAGTTTGCATCTTTGCCCCTTTTTCTAACCACATGTTGCCATTTTGTTCTTTTTCTTTCAGTTTTGTACTTTAAATGTACCTTTTTGTAACGCTGTATTTGAACCATAATGTATCAATTTAGATTTTGCTGGTGTGAAGCTGCAGGCTGCTCCATTTCATACTCAACAAGTTGTACACAAATCTGTGAATGTGTGTATGGGGCCGTTGGAACAGTAGTGGAAATGATTTTGAGAATCCTTTGCTAATAATAGATGCTTGTATTATGTCAGGGTGCACCATGAGTCAGGGTAAGGACAATGCAAGACTCAAAAGCTACAAGAACAAGTCTCTCAACACAGATGAGATGAGGAGGAGGAGGGAAGAGGAAGGTCTGCAGCTCCGCAAACAGAAGAAGGATGAACAAGTAAGTAATTCATGGTGTAAAATCAAACTGAAGTAACACAGCTGATGGTATAGTACTTGCTATATTGTAATTACAAGGGACTGATACCTCATGTATATATATGTTTGTAGTGTCAGAAAAGCTGAAACTCACAGACTGGTTGGATATTGTGTGATGGCAAAAGAAAGAAAAATGTCAGGACAGTTTTTAAAATCTTAATGGATATTGTCATAATAGCATTCATCAATGTTACAATAAAATACTTCCTGGTATCATGCAGCGCTTGTGATATCCCGACACAAACCATCACGCATTATAAAATGGGACAAAAATGAGGCATGATTTTCAAAATATTCTACAAATGAAGGGATGTGCTTTGTGCATTTCTATTCGGCTCCATTTCCTTTGGTATCCTTAAACAAAATCCAGTCAATTGCCGTCAGAATTTACAAAATTATTAAACTCTTGTATGCAATCAGATTCAGTATAAAAACAGCTGTTCTTTGAGAGTTTTATTAGCTAACAGTGGTGAGCAAATAAGTTGGTAAAAATGGAATCGGGCTTTAAAACAAAAATCCAACTTCAAGTTGAAGTGATATGCGTTCCACTGCAAGGCACTGTATGCATCTTCCTACTTGTGCTCTTAATATTCATGTAACATCAAGGCAAATGAGTCAAAAATTATATTTACATGTTCCAATTCTATTGCAGCTTTTTAAAAGGAGAAACGTTGCCACTGTGGAGGACGATGGAGCCCTGGAGGATGATGGGATGGCCGACAGCGGCTACCTGGAATCACAGGCGAACAACCTGGACCCACTCATGGTGAGAAAACGTTTAAATAAGCATCCTTGTTCTCCATAAATTAAAAAAAAAAAAAAAAAAACCTTCGATAAAACCAGATGTAAACAAATTGTGTTGCAGGGTGGGGTCATCTCTGAAGACATGATTCAGATGATCTTCTCCAGTTCTCCAGAGCAGCAGCTAATAGGCACTCAGCGCTTTAGGAAACTCCTTTCTAAAGGTACAGCTGCAAGTTTCACTCATGTGTTCATCACTCATGTCTGTGGACTTTATTCTCTACAGCACAGCATGTTCTGCTTGTCGTTAAATGATCTGAACCTATGAAATAGTGACATTGCTTGAAATGCATGGATTATCAAAATCTGTCATTCTGAGCAACTCTGCTGTCTGTGTGTGATTTTAATTCTAATTTATGCTTAAAAAACTTCTCCAGCTCTCCAGTATTTAATTAGGACTTTTTCTTTTCCCTTCTTTTTCTTCTGCATTTGTCGCACAGAACCAAACCCACCCATTGATGAAGTTATTGCTACTCCAGGGGTTGTGGAGCGATTTGTTGAATTTCTGAAGAGGAGAGAAAACTGCACACTGCAGGTACATTTACATACTGATTCTGCTCAACAGTACAAGTGTGGAAAATCAAAAATAGAAAATTTCAGGTTTGTTAGGTTCCACATTTAAAGTCTTAACTCTGTAGAAATATCTGCTATACATTTATTGCAAACTTTTTCATTTATGCTTATGTACTTTCCTCATGTTTAAGGGTTACCATAAAACCTAATGTTATTGTACACTTTTCATGTTCTGTTTTAGTTCGAGGCTGCATGGGTCTTGACCAACATTGCGTCAGGTACATCCCATCAAACGCGCGTTGTAATCCAGGCAGGGGCCGTGCCCATATTCATAGAGATGCTCGCCTCGGACTTTGAGGACGTACAGGAACAGGTAAGAAAGATTTTGTGGACTTTTTTGTCATCATTGGCTTCTCTCAGCTAACTTTACTCTTCAGTTCAATTAGCCTGTTCAAAATACACTTGCAGCGTTTCTGTTGCATTTACAGTTGAGCTTACACGGCTGCTTTTCCCCTCAGGCAGTGTGGGCCTTGGGAAACATAGCAGGTGACAGCACAGAATGCAGAGACTTTGTCATAGACTGTAACATCCTTCCCTCCCTGCTGCAGTAAGTAGCTTCCCAGTTTCCTCATCTTTTCGATACCACTCGCACAATTAAAATGCAGTTTCACAAGCTGGATCTGTGAAATTCTCTTTGCAGATTATTGGCCAAACAAAATCGTCTAACAATGATGAGGAACGCAGTGTGGGCGCTATCCAACCTGTGCAGAGGAAAGAACCCACCTCCAGACTTTGCTAAGGTAATTTGCGAGGACAGAGCATCACTATGGCAACTGCCCACATCTCGGCACAGCATTGCTTGCCTTTCAAGGTCACAAGCCTGTTATCTCTCATATCTTAATTGCAAAAGTTTTTTCCTAGCTGGACTTGAACACGATGTTTTCTCTCTCAGGTGTCCCCGTGTCTCAGCGTGCTTTCCTGGCTGCTGTTTGTTAACGACACAGACATACTTGCTGATGCATGCTGGGCGCTCTCTTACCTTTCTGATGGCCCCAATGACAAGATCCAGGCTGTTATCGACTCAGGAGTCTGTCGAAGGCTAGTCGAACTGCTGATGTAAGCCATTAAACACGTACACTGAAACTATGCAGAACATTTTACTAATATGTTGATAGAATATATGACTTGTTCATGGGCTATAAGCAAACAAACATAATTGCATACTTATTATAATTTGCTAAAATAGTCACAGAGTCTCGCCTGTGCACATCATTTCAACTGTTTTGAGTGTACTGGTACAAATGCAGCTGCCTCTTAATAAATTAATATGTGCATAAAACATTGAGAGGATTTTATCGCAAAACCCCTTCCAGAGTTTTGGGAGATTCACAAGGCCTGGGCTTCCTGGAGCCACAAGCTATTACTGAAATAAATGAACGTTTTAATGACATTAGAATTCATGAAGATGCCCTTTTTTATTTGACTGACCTGAAAAATGACAATCTGTGGTTCTGCTCTCCTTCAGGCACTCTGATTACAAGGTGGTGTCTCCTGCACTGAGAGCCGTTGGAAACATAGTCACTGGAGATGATCTGCAGACACAAGTAAAGGCAACATCTACTTCAACTGAGTATTAATGTCTGGAGAAGTGTGAATTTTCTGACTGTGTCCAACTCGTATCATTCCAGGTGATTCTGAACTGTTCGGCACTGCAGTCTTTACTTCACCTGCTGAGCAGCCCCAAGGAGTCTATTAAGAAGGAAGCTTGTTGGACGATCTCCAACATCACTGCAGGGAATCGAGCACAAATACAGGTGCGTTTACACTTTCGCTTTTATTGTAACTTTAGAAGTAATTAGAAGACCTGATGAGTTCCTTCCCTTGTTCGCAGATGGTGATAGATGCGGGTCTGATGCCTCCTCTCATCAGTATTCTGCAAGTAGCTGAGTTTCGCACAAGGAAGGAGGCAGCGTGGGCTATTACCAACGCCACCTCCGGCGGCTCTGCAGAGCAAATAAGGTGAAAGTCAAGTTCTATTTAAGAAAGAAAAAAGAGGTTACATCATACATTTGAGTTCATTTTTGCGTAGATTTGTTACATAATGTACTCTTTAATACCATGTACTTTATTCTTTGCATTTTTTATAAATCTTGAAAGCCTTAAAACAAAAGTATAGCATATACCAAACAATAGTAAATAAACTTTGTCTTTATTATGTTTCATATCTTAAGATTTAATCTAATCATCATTAGTTCTTCCTAAGACTTCATGTATGGTAAATTTGTATAAGTTTTAAGTGGTTTTGACATAAATATTACTCCAAAGACAACCCCTTTTATTACGGTTAAGTGATGAGTCTTATTTTTACTGTGTCTGTACTGCCCCCTGCAGGCATCTAGTGGAACTCGGTTGTATAAAACCTCTGTGTGACCTTCTCACACTGATGGATTCCAAAATAGTCCAAGTGGCTCTAAATGGTCTAGAAAACATCCTGCGACTGGGAGAGCTGGAGGCCAAGAGAGGAGGAGGCATTAACCCCTACTGTGCTCTCATTGAAGAGGCCTATGGTATGGTTGTCCGTCCACCCGTCCAGTTTTCAATCTATTCCCTCATCTATTAATCTGTTCATCCAATCATGCATTCTTTCTTTTTGCAGCTTCCATTTTCTTACCATTTAATCTGCTACATATTCCAATTTTGATGAAATCTTACTCTGGAATTTTGAGAAGAAAAATGCGCAGAAGCCACGATGTTTATGTTTCCCTGGTAAAATAAAGACAACTATTTCCAGCTCTAACTTCCTCTGTTCCCTCTCAGGCCTGGACAAACTGGAGTTCCTGCAGGGTCACGAGAACCAGGAAATCTACCAGAAAGCCTTCGACCTGATCGAGCGCTACTTCAACACCGAAGACGAGGACCCTTCGCTGGCTCCGGCCGTCGACCTGCAGCAGCAGCAGTTCCTCTTCCAGCAGTGCGAGGCTCCGATGGAAGGCTTCCAGCTATAATGCTAAAAAATCCCCCAACCCCCGAGCTCCAGCTTCATCTTCATCTACGCTCACGTCTCAGTCGCTGCCCACAGTCAAGACCCAGAGTGACAAACAGCCCTGCTCCTCCCCTTTCCCAGAGAGATGGATTCAATCGTCATCTTGATCATTATAATACTACGTAACAGTAAAGAAGCACATATTTGTGCATAGATCCAACATGGGTCAAGTCTTGTCAGCCAGTTCATCCAGGTTCACTTTATTTTTCTGTTTTGTGCCGACTTCCTGGCCAGAGCTCCAGCATCTCCTGTCAGACCATTCCCATACTCCTCATGGGAAAGAAGAACGTCCTTCTCCTTGTTGCCATAGGATTGGCAAGCACTCTCTCAGCCAATGGGAGAATTTGGACTGCCCTGCTTGTCTGAAGCATTAATGACTTGGAAGATGGACAAATACTGACCCGGTTCCCCTTAATTTGTCCTCCTACACAGAGAAAAATCCAACCTAAACACTGGACTGACCCCAAGACATCGACCTCATGTTTGAGTGCATCACTTGGACTGACTAAGAAAGTCACTTAACTTGAAAAAAAAACAAAAACAAAAAAAACGGAGGGTGAATTTCCTCAACTTTTCTCAGAATCCACACATAGACTAATTAGAAACTTGACTGTGTCGCTACGCGGTGGATTGCTCGCATTCCCACCCTGATCTCATATCATTCCTTCTTACCAGTATTGGGACTTTTCCACATGCACTGGCTCCACCTTCAAGAGTTTAAACTGCCGCATCTGATTTAAAAAAAAAAAAAAAACCCATGGAACCATGGGAATTGGAGTCTTCCCTCGCACTGAGACAATTGGACTTGGACGAAACAAAACAGACTATATAACCCTGGATTCTGTCCAGCAGCAAGCCAGCGGGATTATTATTCTTTTTTTTTTTTCATTTCATTTATTAAACCATCGTTTCATTTTATTTGCAGCACTTTAGTTCTGGACTTTTGCCTGTTCATCGACGGTAGTCTATATGTTTGCTATTTAAGTTGGTTGATGATACGGCTCTTCCCTCCTCAGGAAGCGAGATGTAAAGAGTCCAGGCCCCCATTCCTGGTATGACAAAGATTACACTGTTTACCCTTCTACATAAGGGGAATTCGAGCAGATTGTGGACTGAAATTGTCAGCAAACTCTTGTCAAAAACTGGGGATTTTTTTTGTTTCCTCAGCAAAGCTAAAACAACTTTGCATTTGGTGAATTGGCAGTTTTAATCTATGAGCAGTCTAACATGAATCCAGGTAAATGTTTGCTGTTTGATTATGCCAAATCAAGACATGTATCAGACTGAAGAATCAAGGTTGGTCTTTTTTTTTTTTTTTTTTTTTTAAATTGGGGGTTAGCTTTTTTTGTTGTTGGTGCCATAATCCCTAATATATGGAACTCCTTCCATAAAACATCAACAGAAAAAAAGGAAAAAAAAATCCAGATTAAACTTGAAAATCCTGATGATCATTGTAGTTAGCACAACTGAATGTTTACCAAGTACTCTTCTCATGTTGCTTAATTTTGTCAAAAATCTCTCCAAGAGATGACCAGCTCTTCGTGTTCATTACTGTTTGTTGTACTGAGTTTGTGCATCTGTTCTGTTCTGCCATTTGCATAAAAGTCATTTCAGAAACTCCAAACAGTGGCACGTGGATCAGTTTCATTGCCGCATGTGATTACTGGGTATTTTGCCAAGTTAGAAATGGTTAATTTCAGTTTTATTCAGTAATCTTCCCATAAATGCATGTTTGAAATTGTAACGGAGGGAGCATAATCTTGTGTTATTTCCAAATAGTCTGACATCGAAATCATAAAATTCATGTTGGGTATGAGTAAAACCTCGGAGGTAAGTTAATTAATTAACAGAAGATATCCAAAGAAAAATTACTTTATTAAGCTGACTCTTTTATTTCTATAAACAGACATGTCACAATAGCCACTGGCAGGCTTCATCATACCGCTATATGAAGATAAAGAACCCAATTACACTGGATCCACTGTCTCTATTAGTTTTCAAACTAAACACAGGTATGTATACACAAAGAAGGAAACAGAAAATGTAGCACTTATCTAGTCAGAAATGTTTTATTTTCCTTTAATTCCTCACTGCAGCTCTAGGCTTGGTACCACTAAAGATTTCTCTTTTCCTCTGAGAACTCCAACCGCGTGGAAAACGGTCACTCCTTAAATTTGTTTGGGCTTTTTTTTTTTTTTTTCTACAATTAGATCTGCAATGTGAGGCTAATCTCCTGGTCGGCAAAAAGTCTCACTGAGTTCGAGTTCAGTGAGTTGAGAGTTTTGGTACAAACACAAGTTAGGTGAAAATACAGTCGACCAGGCGTTTACATCCATGGAGTAAAAAGCAAAGAAAAAACTAAAAAGACAACAAACTGTCCAGGTTTTTTTCTTCCTCATTGGCAATGCATCAGACTATTTCTATTAGTAAAGCCAAATGATGATGATAATGATGTAAAATGGAGGCAAAATTGTGGATGTATTTTAAATTAATGCTGAAAGCGGCTTTCTTATGTAATGACATCAAAAAAATGTAAAGAAATAAACCTAATGTACCGGGAAAATAACTGCAGATCTCCAAAAGTCTGGCTCAATGTTAACTACAGTTTCCACAGGTCAGCTGTTATCAGAATGGGAATGTCCAGCTATGCCATTTAGAAAGAAGACTGTGACCCAGAGATGGACCTGTCCCGTGTGAAATATGTGAACCAACCTCAGGAGAAAAGCGAAAGTCGTTGTGAAGATGCCAGCTGAGCTCGTGCCAACATGTACGTAGGAACAAAGACCTTGAAGTTTTTGCCATAATGACTGCAGCCTTGTAAAAACCTTGCTCTACGATTCGCTTTGTACAGATGGTCTGGACTCCCGACTATTGAGAAACGATTGCTTCCTGGAGGCGTGGACTCTGTTGAAGTATTTCACCCAATCGCTAACGCTTAGCTATGACGCATGCAGTGCACCACTTAGCTTACCAGAAACTGCCTGCGCTGTAAACAACCATCCTTCACTGAAAAGAAAGAAGTGCCGAGCTGAACGAGGCAACTGTTAATTGAATATTTGTGGCCAACACGGACTAAACTGCATCACTAGCTTCCTCCGCTGCTACTGCTAAAACTACAGGCAGATCAGAAAACATTCACAACTTCTTCTGTTCGCTGATTGGCCCGGGTGAGTTTCTACTGGAGGAATCAACTTCAATGGGAGAAAGAGTAGACTGAGCAGAAAGGGGAGATGAGAATCTAGCGAAATAGCGAATGAAGGAGGAAAAATTCTCTGGAAGCGTTAGTATTTCAGCTGCTAAAATTACACGTCAAATGTGGTCATTGAGGGAATGATTTGCAGAATGAGATTGAACGAATTTTCAATCGTTCTATTGAAAATTTCATCAAGGCAGTCCTTTAAGACTGCAATATTGCGTGCATTTATACATCTTTTAGAATTTAACATATTGTCTAATTTTAGGTAAACCTAACTCACTGAAGACAGAAAAGGTTTAGTCTGATTAATCTCATACAATAAGGAGGAAAAAAAAAGTTGAGTAGTTTTTTTTATTTTGTATGTAAATATCTGGTTGCAACTGTATTATGACTGAAAAGCAGAGCTGTCCTCCATCACTGGGTCTTCTCTTTCTCAATTTCCTCCCTCCACTTGGCTTTCTTCTCCAAGTTGTAAGCAGTCAGGGACTCATTTCTGCCGGCAGCCTGCAAACAAAACAGGATGGAATCTGGATAAGACCGTTTTTATAACCGTGAACAATTTAAAGTCCAGGCCGGAAGTTTTTACGCGGCTATTTTTTTTATGCATTACAATATTCTGGGCTTTTATGGTTAAATTAGAGGGGTGGGACGAATGCTACAAAAAACAACTTCAGTGATATTTTAAAACAAGAATTCAAGGCAAAAGCTTTAATCTGGATTTCTTCAAATTCAGGTAAGACTGAAATTATAAATGCTATGATAAAAACAGAAACCTTTATATATATTTATGCCTACAAATGGCCTTTTGAAGGTCCAGACTTTTATCCCAACAAGAATTTTTGTTAAGAGTTAAAAATTACTGCATAAACTACACAAACCTATTCAAGCAAATCTGACTAAAGTGAGCTTTTTGGTGAAGAGAGACTGGCAAAATTCAAAGTCTCTGCGCATAGGACGCTTGTAAAAACCTCAAAACTAGAAACTATAGTTGCAGCTAAATGTGGTTTTACAAAGTGCCGAGTCGGGGGGGAAAACAGATGCCACACTTTTCAGGCCTTTACTTGCAAAATAAATAGTTAAACCGTGCACCATGTTCTTTCCAATTATTCACTCTGCTATGCTGACCTACAAGAAAACTCAAATGAGACGCTCCAAGGTCTTTAAGTTGCTAAATAGAAATGTGTGTTACTTGCGCAAAGCACAAAGGTATGTGTTTGAGAGTCTCAGTGTGATTTTCCATTTGATGTGAAATCTACCAGATGTTTTACACTTGTGCATCCAGTTCTTGTTTTACAAAAATAAATGAATAAATCACTGAAGTTCTATGTTGCACACTCATCCCTACCGGAAAGACATGAACAATTTACTTGCATATTTATAATCCCAACATTCAACTCCATTCAGGTTTATAACATGCTTTACAACTGCGGCTTTCCAGTCGTAAAAAAATAAAACACGTGGCTCTATTTTGGGATATTCAGGGAAAACAAAGACACCCGACGAGTTCACCGTTAGCCTATTCATGATGACTCGGCAGAATCGACCAGCACAGACATGAACAAATTCCTGTTCTTCCGCATCACTGCAATCCTAGAACTCACAGCTACCGGATCAGGGCCACATGTGCGTGCGACGAATTTCTGCTTTGTCACTTACCTTTTTGCCCATAATCACCATCAACACACAGGCTCCTAATGTCAACACCATCATCATATAGGCGACTTTCACTCTAATTTTATTCCTGGCACTGTCAATTGTCTCGTAGCTGTGGAAAATATGAAAACGGACCACATAGTTAGTTCAGAACAGGTGGGAAACAACAAAGAAGACAATAATTGTGCTGATTTCGACACACAAAAGGCTGACATGTGTTCCTATATGTCACAGCAATTAAGGAAACGATAATTGCTGGGTTTTCAAGCTAATCTTCACACGATATACAAATGTTTATAATCAGGACCATCAGATCTTTCAACACGCTCCTGAGCTGCTCTGCTGCTGCCGTTTGTTTTGGACACAGAGCTTCCGTGTCGACACGTACAGGTGGGCTGAATTTACCTCGTAAGCATGACAAGCAGATCTTTTTCTAATCACAGCAGCAGATCAGATGCGATCTCCGCCCTGATGTCAGGAGCCACGGTAATTACCTCCAGGCACAAACAGACGCCTTGTTTGAACAAAGGACGTCTCAGAGGGACCAGCTACAAGCCGCGCGGCCGCTCATCCACTTAGCCAGCTCTGTTCTTGTGATGTGGAGGCAATCGGATGGCAGTGCGCTAGGGCAGGGGAGGTCTGGCATAAACAGGAAATGGCTACTCACGACAAAGTCTCTGGGATCTGTTCCGCGGACTTGAAGCGGCCTGTCCACACTAGCATCTTCTTGTCCATGTTGGAGGGTCTGTAGCCGGGGGGTCTGAATGAGGGACGCGGTTCTGTTCAGAGGAAAGACGGGCAAAAAGAGGTGG